TAATTACTCTTAAAAAGTCTTAACAAATTGTAGTCTCAAGTAAGTTAGATAGCTCAAAATTTTGCAAGAATTTTTTAATTTTTAAATGAATACCTCAAGATTTTTAAAAGTCTTAAAAAGTCTAAATTAAATAAACTAGATTTGTTTAAAAAATTCTAAATGAATACACCCTTCTATATGAAGGAAAAAAAAACTTTCAAACTATCTCCCTATTCCTATATATAATTCTCGAATGTGCTGATGTTAAGTGGCAGGTTTGCATGCTTCGAGATCCTATGCAGCAAATTTCATTCTTTGTCATTTCGTTTGGATGCATTTTAATTTACTCTCAATTAAAAAAATAACTAGTTTTAACCCCGTGCATTTGCACGAGAAGCGATATAATAGAGGAGAAGTAATGTATTGAGAAAAAAAATAATAAATTAAAAAAATGAATCTAAATATTAATAATTTTAATATATTCGGCTTTGATTATGTATTTAATAAATAAAATGACTAATAATTTTTGTATGAATTGCAGGAACAATTTGTGGAGCTGGTTGAAGACTATATTTTTAAGATTTATTTAAGTTTTGATATTGTTGTTGTATCTTTGTAATATAAAATATCAGTTTTTTCTTCTTCTTTTTTTTTTTATTGTATAACTATAATACAAAATAAGAATATTAGTTGTAAAATAATTTAATATTATAAATTCAAAAAATTTAAAATCTTATAAAGTTGTTACACAATAAAAAATTAATAATAATACAATTTTAATTGTATAGCTGTCATTTGAATGTTGGACATAAATATTTGTATTAAATGAAGTTCGTATGTTTACAAAAAAGTTACAAAAAGTTCCTTTTCATACATAAGGCATAAAATTAGAACTTTTTTTGTAAAACATAAATGACCTTTTTTATCGCGAAAATGACCTTTTATATAACATTTTTGAAAACATATGGGACAAAAATAAAAAACGCAATTAGAAGAGGACGAAAAAATTAGAATAGTGAAACATCTAAAATTGCAATTTACTCCAAAAAAATGAACATAGTAAATTGAATAAGGTTATTAGTTAATACTCAGTTGTACATTCTAAACTACAAAATCTTCCCCCTACGCCCTACGTTTCAAAGTTTACGCATTTTGTATAAAGAATAAGTTATACCTGTGGTTTTTAAGCAAAATACAAGCACTGTTTATATTATTATGTCTACACATTGATCTTACACCATATACTGTCATTTACCAAGAATAAAAAATTAAAGAACTATTGAATTCACAATATAAGTTAATTTCAACAATAAATAATCTTAAAATTGAACAAACAGCAACGATGAAAATAAATCATCCAGAATGACAAATACGTTCAATTAAAACATACCAATGTATCAAAAAGCAAAATCTCAACATTAAAAAGTATACTGTTTTTCCTGCTTCAAAAAACATATGAAAATCCCAACAAACAAAATCATTCTAATAGACTAAGACGGACGTCATTGGGCAACGGACCGGGAGAATCATCATCACTTCCACACTGCTTTTGCTGCTTCTTTAAACCGTGGGTGTACAACAAGTACGTATACCTTTCCTTCTCGATGTCAACATCAAACTTCTTTGTAGTAATATCAACGTCGGTTATGATGTGCTCCGCAAAAGATGCAACAAATATTCCACAGTCGCTGCAAAACATAAATTATATGCAGTTTTAAAAAATATATATATATAAATCATAGTCAGAATATATACCAAACAAAAAGATTAATAATATTCCAACCTGTTCAAAGGAGTGAAAGAAATTTGTTATTATTATTAGTTTTATATTTTGAGTTTATTTGTGAATTCAAACATATTCACTTGCTGTGGGATGTTCGCCGCCATCATAACCTCAAATGGGTTGTTAACGTCTGTTGGTATCCGCCCGCCCGCAGGGATTCAAAATGCGAAGTCGAGTTGGACGCAATGCGTCATGGAAAGGTATCCAAAAAGCACAGTAAGCTTTTTTTTGTAAAATTGCACCACCCCAAGAAAAATTGGGATCAATCGTACATACGCCTGTACACTTTCTAGTACAACTGCATCAAAATCTACAGAATGATACGAGTTATAAACCCAAAACCTCATATCAGTGAAGGACAATCTACCCAATATCCAATGCCCAATACCATTTACTTCCACGTGCATGGGAAAAAAAATGTTATCAACTTCAAACCATGACAACCCGCATATAATTCTATATCCCATAATGTAGTCAACGATAATATCATGAACAGAGCATATCCCATTGTTGCACGATTGTGAAACGTATAGAGCATATAACGACTTGATGTGTTGGTCAAAGAACACATCAGTCGTCGTATACCTAACCTCAGCACAAGTACCATACAACCCAAGCTTGCATAGGTAGTAGAACAATACATCCATATGCTGTACATGAAAAAAAATATGATAAAAAAACAATATATATATATATATATAACAAATTATAACAATATTGTATAAACAACAAAAAATAATGAATATATAAGATTAAACTTACGCTGCTATCAAAGAAACATCCTGACTCGTAAAGTGTGTAAAACCAGTTTTTATCACACACAACAACAACATTGAAATCAAATGGTGGGTCCAATTTCATGTTTCTTTTATCATAGTAAACCATCCTGTTGAATTAAAATATATGTGTGGGAATATTTGAAAATATTATTCTAATTGACATCAACCAACAATAACAAAAAATAATATTTTATTATGTAGCAAGAATATAAATCCCAATATACAAATATGAATATACTGTGCATATACTGTGAATATATTATGAGTACAGGGAGCATATAACGTGAATATACTGCGCATATACTGTCAATATACTGTGCATATTCCATTTTAAAAAATTGTGAATTCATTTTATAAATTATAATATACTGTGACTAAGAAATAATAATATACGCATTATCAATTACAATATAAACAGTATATAATACCCTTTATCATCATATTATTTTAAGTGTTCATTAACTTTTAGAATACCCTTATTATCAGATTATTTTCGTACCCGTCATTTAACTTGCGACCTCTCTTGAGCGTACCAATCATATACCACTTCAGAAAATCGCCAG